GGCCCCCACCCGTGCCTACTTTACACGCACCCGCTGGGGGGCCACACCCATTGGGACCGCTGGCGACCTGCGCCCGCTGCTCCTCGCGTCCGGATGGATGGCCGCACAGCCCGCTCCCGTCCACCTCTCCTCGGACACGCACCATGCCTCGTCGCTGCACCCGGCTCCTTCCTTCCCTCGGACTCCCTCCTCTCTCTCTCTCTCCGCGTGGGCGGGACTCGCTAGCCGGCCCCTAGCTCGCAACGTCGCGTCTGCCGGGCCCCAACTCTTCCATGCCCTATGCCCCGGCGCCTGGGCCGTGCACCCATCACTCACCGTGCCCTCGTGAAACACTTGCAACATGAAACACTTGGATGCAACATACGTCGGACACAAATGAAACATTTGAAAACTGTTGCAACATATGTGTGAAACATATGTAACATCTAAATAAAACGCTTGCGACATGTGTGTGAAACATATACAACATCTAGGTAAAACAGTTGCAACATATGTGTGAAACATATAAAACATCCAGATAAAACATTTGTTGTAACATACATCTGAAAACAGTTTTTTCAAAACGCTTACAACATAAGACTAAAAATATGCAACATGTGCAACATCTCGATCTACTTGTGCAACATCCATATGTAACAATTGCAACATACCTCTGAAACATTTAAAATACTTCAAACATACATTTGCAACATAGGAGAGGGAAAGGCTGGGGCCGGTCGATTCCAATCATTGGGGTGGGATCCGGCGACGAGCGGCGGCGCGTGAGCACCAGCACCATCCAGCACCGACCTTGGCTCAGCCTGGCAGGCGGCACGCGCTACGAGAGGAAGCGAGCGGCAGGGCACACGGCCGAAGCGAGGCGCGAGGTGCTGGTGGGGAGCGTGGCGGGCGGGGAGAGGAGCGAGCGGCGCAGGTGGGGCGCGTGACGGCGTGGGATAGAGGAGCGAGCGAGCAGCGCGGGATACAAGGGCGGATCTATATAGTGGGCTGTGGGTGCAAATGGACGCCGTAACCACCTTCGACAATCCAAAGTCACCGCTTGAAAATCTTCACGGTAGTAGTGACACTCTCAGGGCTAATTTTCAGGGCCGGTGCAGGAAGGCTAACGTGTTGTGGACTCCAGGCTCGGAAATTTCACGTCCTCTATTGTCTTGCTTGCGTGCCCGCCATGCTGGTGTTGCATGCAGTCAAGGAATCCACATGCAAGGGCCCACGTCACCTTGTAATACAAGCATAGATTGCCTCCTGCAAGAAGTTTCAACTCTCATGCCCAAATGAGCATCACAGAGATCCAAGGACCGTGCTGAGTTTATTTGGTGTAGGTCCTTTTTCAGTTTTTCGTCGCAAACATCGTCTTTGGCTAAGCAAAGCTCGGTCGTCAACCACGGGACTCCATCGACTTCGCTTCTGCTCCGATGTCAGGCTTCTATATCATCTTTGGTCGTCGGAGATACTTTTTCATACTGGAATTGGAAGCCCACCCAAATCTCACTAGCTCAAGGCAGCGAGGCCCTTCCGCAACCAGCGTCTCGCAGGTTTCCGAGCAACCTGGGTCGTCACCTGAGTTTCTCCTTGATCTTGGCGCTGTCATTGTCGAGCCTTTCGAGGACTTGTAATCCTTCTTACATCGTTTTTAAAGATGTTAGTGTACGGTAGCACACTAGCGCCCGGACGTCCGAACGCATGTGTCCGTCCAGATGCCTGCGGCTGCTCCACCCCGTCCGCTCGGATTCACGCATCAGCTCCGTTTCCCGCGCTCGCATCAGAACCGCTCACTTTAGATCTGTTGTCCACTCTGCTCGGATGACTTGCCCCCGCCTCTTCCACACAGGCGCGGCGCCCGTCTCTTATAGGCCGCCCGGAAGACTCGCCCCCGCCTCTTTCACAACAGCACCGCGCGGCCTATGCCTCCTCCCCACACCGCCGGCAACAGCCTGCGCCTCCTCCACGCGTCGGTGGCCGCGGCTTGGCCCTGCTCGCCCTCATAGACACCAACGTCAGCGGTCTGCACTTGCAACATGAAACACTCGAATGCAACATACATTTGAAACATATGAAATATTTAGGACATACGCTTGCAACATGTGTGTGAAATATATGCAACATCTAGATAAAAAAATGCAACATGAAAAAACACTTACTGTTACGTAAGACTGAAACGGCTGAAACAGTTGGAACATACTGTTATAACATATGTGTGAAAACATATGCAACATCCAGATAAAAAACGATTGTGACATATGTCTGGAAACAAATGAAACATCTTGAACAAACGCTTGCAACATGCTTCTGAAACGCGTGCAACATCCCTGATCTACTTTTGCAACATCCATAAAAACAACTACAACATAACTTTGAAACGAGCGAAACACATGAAACATACATTAGTAACATAGGGAAGGGGAAGCCTGGGCTGGTCAATTCCAGCCGTCAGGGTCAGAGCCGGCGGTGAGCGGCGGTGCACACGAGCACCACCGCCACCAGTACCGGGCTTAGCTCGGTGGCAACGGTGAGGGGATGGGGACGAGGAGCGCCATGGGCGCCGGGGTGAGAGAGGGTGCCGTCGGGGTGGGAAGGGCGTCGCACCGGGGTGGAGGAGAGCCACCCACTCCCCTGCAACACCGTCGTGCCATCTCCATGAATCTCGCCGGAGGCGAGTGGATCTCGCTCCTGTTCCATGGATCTCACCCAGGGTGGGGGAGAGGGGCGCCGGATCTTCGGACGTTGGGGGCTCCCGGTGGGGGAGGAAGCCAGGCGTTGCTGCGCTACTACAGGGAATGAGGAGCGCGGAAGGGGTAAGGACGGAAGCGAAGCAAAGCGTGCTACAGTTGATTTTGTTTTTTTAGGCGAATGGCGCATGCGATAGTGAATGGAGCGAGGTGTCCGGCCTTCTGAACGTCTTTGTAGTAGCATTAGCGTAATTAATATACCCGATGAAAAAAAAACTAACTTATCCAGGGACTTGTGTTGGCAAGAAATACCTTATTGCCACGGGAAAGCCAATTTGGCTGGCTCTAGCCGGCAAGTTAAGGTGAGGCTAGCGGCGCCCTTGCCAGCAAAGCAAGGCAATCCTTGCCTTAGTAGAAGCAAATATGCCCAGTGTTTTTGTATGGCATGTATTGCGAGCCTTTGATTCAAAAAAAAAAAGAATCTTGTCTTTTTCAGAAAAATATATACGTTCGGCTTACCCCATATTCGACTTATTCGGCTTCTTTTTTTAGCCGGAACAGTGCTTTTCTCTCACAACAATTCAGCCAGAACAGTGTTTTCAGCCAGTTTCAGCTAAGATTCTGCCAGTTTCAGAGATCTATCTTATCTTTCTTTTTTAGAAAATATATCATGTGAGATCGCTTCTGGCGGGTTTCTGGCTATATATAAATAAAATTATTTATTTTCTCTCCCAACATGAACGGATACAAAATGGGATTTTTCTAATGCAACACGCGGGCATATTTTCTAGTAAAAAATTAATTCATAACGACATCATATATTGAACTTTGAGTATTCAGATAAGATATAGATACACTACAAATACCGAATGTCCAGATTCAATATAGAGTATCTATTTATGGTCTAATTGGTTGTCTACACAAAATTTAGGCCCCTATAATGCAATTCACCCTTGTTTAGCTATACCTACACAAGCTCATATACAGACTAGCACCGTCCCAGCTAAATTCTGCATATTCACTATGCACCTTCCCTCTTGCACCACTCTACAGCGTATTCATTGTGCACCCTCCCTCCTGCACTCACTTTGCAACCCATGGCTCAGTCCGAATTTTGCACCTACTCTGCAATCCATGGCTCAGCCTATCCACTTCTTGGAAACCAATTACACTTATAACATATCCAGCATACCCTTTCATGCAATACAGTATTAATACGAGGAACCAATTGGACTATCTGAAACTCTTCAGACTCAGCGTGTCAAAAATACTCTCTCTGTTTCAAATTACAAGACATTTCGGTTTTTCTAGATATGTTATTCTATTATGTATCTAGATATAGTGCATATCTAAGCGTACAGTGAAAAGTAGTACCTCCGTCCGAATGCAATTATGGGATGCGTCCCGGTCAAAAAATCTTAAATTTAACCAAGTTTATAGTAAATATTATTAACATTTATACTTCTAAATAAATTTATTATAAAAATATATTCTATAACTAATCTAATGGTACTTAATTTATATCATAAATGTATGCATTTTTTTATATAAATTTAGTCAAAGTCTAAATTGTTTGACTTCTCGAAAAACGAAAATTACATTTTTTTTTTATGGACGGAGGGAGTATATATATTGAAAAAAGCCAAAATGTCTTTATAATTTAGAACTGGAGTATCATACTAATAACAAATCTTAGGCATAAGAAGGAAAGCTTCACGAGGCACACCGTCACATTGAGAACCTTTTTTTAATGGGATTTTTAACTTTTTGCCATCTTTACCGATGGCACTCCTCTGTTTGGTATCTTTATACGCGCCCCTACATATTTGTCATCGTAAACAGTAACCCTTCTACGTTTTTGTCATTTTTTGTTGAGGTGGCATGCCAGCGTGGCAGGGAGCCTGGGAAGACCTACAAAGCATGAGAAATGACCTATTCCTCCGATCGCTGACGCGTGAGCCCCACATGTCAGCTTCGTCTTCAACCCCTGCTATCACCCGCTCAGCATCGGCGCCGGCGACGGCGAGCCCGCGGCGGGCAAGAAGAGGAAGCGTCGCGGCCGCGTCGGCCTGGAGGACGGAGGCGGCGCGCTGTTTGGCCACCTCAAGGGGGAGCAGCAGCAGCCGGCTCGTCCGGTGCAGCGACGGTGGCGACAGCGACGGGGCGCGCAGCAAGCTGGTGTTCTTCGGCGCGGACGGCGGCGAGGAGGACGACGACGGCGACGGCGACAACGATGGCAGCGCCGGCGCGCCGCTGACCTCGCACCTGCAGCAGGGAAGGCGGCGCGGGAGCCGGTTCCAGCTGGAGGAGCTGCTGCGCGCGTCCGCCGAGATGGTGGGCAGGGGCAGCCTGGGCACCGTGTACCGCGCCGTGCAGGGCGACGGCCGCATGGTCGCCGTGAAGCGGCTGCGCGACGCCAACCCCTGCGCGCACGACGAGTTCCACCGGTACATGGACCTCATCGGCCGCGTCCGCCACCCGCACCTCGTTCCGCTCAGTGCCTTCTACTACGCCCGGCAGGAGAAGCTCCTCATCTACGACTACCTCCCCAACGGCAACCTCCACGACCACCTCCACGGTACGGTACCGTCTCCCTCCGGCGACCTTGTTGCCAGTCAGTTACAATTACAACCATTGCCGTTGCGTGATCCGTGATCGACCTGGACCTGACACGAATCACGAATGCTCCTTGCCATTGTCTGCTTGAATGATGAATGATCCAGGGCACAAGATGTCGGGCGAGTCGCCGCTGGACTGGACGACGAGGGTGAGGCTGCTGCTGGGCGCGGCGCGCGGGCTGGCGTGCATCCACCGGAAGTACCGCACGTCGGGGGTGCCCCACGGCAACGTCAAGTCCACCAACGTGCTGATCGACAAGGACGGCGCGGCGCGTGTGGCGGACTTCCGGCTGGCGCTCCTGCTCAGCCCGGCGCACGCCATTGCTCGCCTTGGAGGCTACATGGCACCGGAGCAGGCGGATAACGAGCGGCTGTCGCAGGAGGCCGACGTGTACAGCTTCGGCGTGCTGGTCCTGGAGGCGCTGACGGGCAAGGCGCCGGCGCAGCACCTGCAGCCGGCGGCGCCGGCGCAGCCTGATGATGAAGACGGACGTGGCCAGCTACGCGGTGCCCAGTGGGGCCGCCGTCGATGCTGAGCGGGTGATGGCAGGGGTTGAAGACGAAGCTGACATGTGGGGCCCACGCGCCAGCGTTTGGAGGGAGAGAAGCAGCAGGGGTACATAGGTCATTTCACATGCTTTGTATGCCTTCCCAGGCTCCCTGCCACGCTGGCGTGCCCATCTGATGTGGCACCTCAGCAAAAATGGCAAAAACGTAGGAGGGTTACTATTTATGATGGCAAATATGTAGAGACGCATGACAAGCGGAGGAGTGCCATCGGTAAGGATGGCAAAAAGTTAAAAATCCCTTTTTTAATACAAGCCATAGGTTGGATCTAACGGATGGCGGAATTGTGTAACACTCCGCTGCAGCACAGACAGACGTGAAATCAATTGACAGAATCTAGATAGAAATGCACAGATCAGCCTACCACTACATTGCTAAGCAGAGCTCCTTCAGAGATATACCATTACAAGTTCCTTAATTTGTTGATAAACAGCCATGGATAGTGAAATGCGGAGTTTGGGTATTTGGCTAATCCAGTGTAGTGCTAGACGGGTTAGTGCAAATTTTACAGAAAATTCATGGATTATAAAGAAACAAATGAACAAAAACGACCAACAGTCTATCAATATCAATCGAACACCAACAATTCTCTCGAGCTTGGTACCATCTAATTGTCGGACCTAAGCAAAGGGCAAAAATGCACATGCGATTTACAATGCAGATTTTTTTTTAATGTTTTTAACCACTAATATCAGGCTCTAAATTCTGGAGGACCAGCTCGCTCATTCTGAACCAAATCCCCACGGTCCGAGCATTGGAGCTCGTTGCAGCTTTGAATCCGGATGGATGTGACGCCAACCATTTATGGTTAACACTGCAGGCAAGGCAAAATTGCAAGTGCATCTGTTTCTGGACAATGATCCTCTGGGTGGTTCATTTTGTGGTGGACAGGGGCCTCAACGATTTGTCTCCGAGCAAAAGACATCAGGAATGCAAGGGCAACTTGCCATCACTGTTGGCCCCAAATGGATGATGTATTATTCCTATTGCTCCTCTCAGGCAAGTGTCTCTGTGGCTCGAATTGTGGTTTGCTACCTAGTTCCTTCCCTGATGGAAATGCAAGCGAGAGGGATAAATCTCCCTTGGTCTGCTTTCCAACCTGTAATGGAACAGGGTCTGGTAACTCTTCATCATCTGAAGACGGAATATTTATGATGTTCTCATCATCCACTGCATTTAGATCAAGTGGAAACACGCACTTTCCATCACTGCTTGAGCTTCCAGCCATCAGTTTATTGCTAGTGCCATCATTCAAAGAGGAAGCTGAAAGGGGATGCACCTTAGATGATAACCTTCCATTGTAGGCATTCTCGCATGAACCAGAGTTCATAGACACTACATTATCCAATTTAATTTTCTTATGCTCAGGTTCTTCATCGACTTCATCAGCTACTTTGGCCATCTCAAAACTTCTTTTACTTGCACCACCTGATGCATGTGAACGATCCAGTGCACCTGTGCTAACCTCACAGGTATTTACATGGTCTATATCCATAAGGTTGTCTCGTCATTAAGGTTGATGGTTGTGCTCACCTTGCCAGATTCTTTAACCAAACAAGTAAAAAAATTAGAAAAAACATGGGTGATAAATAAATTAACTCCTACTTACTAACATGATTGGGAACAATGTTAGTTACCTTCCTGAAGATGGGTTAAGGAGACAGAACAAGTAACTGGCACCATGTTCACATCAAAATCTCTTTCACTAACATTACCACCAAAAGTGTCCCTCATTTTATCTTGGTGTTCTGGATAATCAGGTTTCTGCATATCCATAACAAAACGTTACATTCAGATACTGATACGCGGCATCTTCTAAATGATGCTGTAAAACAAGGTGACAGAATGCCAGTTGTCAAGCTGGCATCCGAAACTCTCAAGTTGTGTAGGGAAATTTCGCATATTGGCAGGTCGCCCATAGGCTGAATCAGTGACTAGGGAATTTTCTAGAAAGCTCATAGTAACATAAACTTTAGGATCTATGGTCAACTTAATGTTTGAGTGCCACGTATGTATAACTTACTAAAGGTGTAAGGTAGTGTAGCATGCGTTATTCTACGTTTTTCTCGTAATGCCCTGATACACAGCTCTCCTACATACTCTATGTGAGGGGAAAAAAATGGTAACTTAAACACAACTAATGTAGAGAAAATGTTTAAAAAGCAAGCGCTTTACCAAATTGGGGCCCAGTTCGGCAAAACCACTCCTGTTTTGTGAGAATGAGTGAGTAGATGACAAAGCAGATGTACTCCAATCCATGGGCCGGGAATCATCATTAAAATTTCGTTCTAGTCTTCTTGTGGATACATAAGATGGGAGGTTAAAGGAATCTTTTTTGCTATCTCTGAATAGACCCCATAGAAAGTAGAACATATTCCACCCTGAGACAGAATAAGAATACGGTGAATCAAATTAAAACCTAGCATGAGATAATATGACACTTCAACTAGCTGAAGGGTTCTTACTTTGGAAGTTCTTTGACAGGATATTGGAAGGGAATATAAGCAACTCAACAGTACCAACACTTCCTCTGAGAACTAAATCATTCTTCAGCATATTTTCAACTAATTTACTGTAGTGATTTTCATAGCTGCAAAAGATAGAAGTGTTAGAATTTCAAATTAAAAACAACATATGAATGAAGCAAATATGAATCAGGGGAAAAACTGCAAACAACGCACCTCTGAACATCTCTAGCAAAGAAAAAAAGACCTATGTTGTCATAAGTTGGACCATTTTCCTGAAATTGTGTCGGCCATGAATTCTGCCGAGGAACTTCCTCAAGCTGGACTTTAGAAGGGAATTTCTTAACCACATCCAGCACTAACTGCGAAGCAGAACATGATAAGTGGGCTTGGAAACCATCACACAGCTCCGGTGATCTTCCGGTCCTCTGCAGCTCAAAACCACCTCTGTTGAAATAAAACAAAAGTTTAAAATGCATATATAATAAACACATCGAGGAAATATTATAATTGCTACCAAATAATACAGGCTGAGTGATAATCAGGTCCAGAAAAACTGGGATGAACCACAAAGCACACATAACATCACAAAACACAAAACATGCAAAAGCATTATCGATAAAGTAGCTTCATAATTGATGGCAGACTGGCAATGGAATGTCTAGTAACTTGTGAAGTCATTTAAAATGTAAAGTAAATTAATAATTTCACTATGCGATGGAAAGGAAAGAATACTCATACTGCCATATCCAGTCCAGCTCAGGGACAGTTGAAGTCATTGGTTCATCACCAGCTGAAAAACCTTGAGCAGGTTCATTCCTATGATCATTTGGCATAATGCAACCATTATCAGCAGAGGTTCCTACTGTGGCAGATAGAGATGGATGATTATCTTTGAACTTCAGCTTGCTATAATCTACTCCACTCCCAGGGATGGACAAAATATATCCCATATCCTGCACATTAGCTCGAGGTGATAATGAGGGCTTCTTCACATGGCTGAATGGGGAAGGTAACATATCTTTAGGCCCATTTATCAGATTCTGATAAGTACCACATTTTACGATATGCTCTGATTGATTCTCTTCTCTGGAAGAAGCTTTTTCACTAAATGCCAGTGTACTAGTTTCGGATGTCTTATTTCTTTTGGCAGATGCATCTTTCAAGTTTTGCTCACTCAAAGGTTTTACTGAAGACGAGTGAAGTTTTTCAAATCCACAAGATTGTGCAGAATGGCCCGCTTCATTACATCTTTGGCAACGGATTGTCCGATTGCTGCTAGCAGCACCCTGTCTGAAGCCAGTTTGGTCCTTTATTTTAGTATCCCTATGTGAAGGATCTGAATTTTGAATCACTTTTCTATGAGCACCGGAACCAAGAATCCCACCTGAGGATTTTTCAGCATTAGATAGCATCATACTTCCGGGCACTTTTGCTAAAGGAGGCTTCTTTAGCTCACTGTTTCCTGAACAAACAAATTAGAGTTACTCAATAAGGAAAATATATGAACTGTGTCATAAGGAAAATGACATGCAAGGGGAAGGGGGGGAAAGGAAATTTACCAAGAGAATTTTTACCACCCTGTACATGAACAGCACCTAAATTATTTGAGTCAGCCGTGTTATTTCTTGTAGAGAGGAGCTGAGCTGTGGTATCAGTTTTTAGAACAGGGGCAACCATTGATGCTGTGGCAGAGGGAGGCCCCAATATAGAAGAACACTGACCATTTGTTACATTTTGGCTCACCAACTGATTCGTCGCCCTTGGCTCCTCGGCAGGTGACAAGATGGAAGACTTTGCCTTGTTTGCTGGCTCACAAGGCTTAGGCTTTTTGAAGGTCGCTGACTTAGTAGTCATGCTGATTGGCCCTTCCTTTTTACTGATAAGAGAAGACCAAGATTCCTTCCAAATTTTCGGCTTCTGAGGAACTTCATTCAATAGCTGTTTCACTTTTGGAACCTTTGAGTTGTTGAAAGAAGTGGATTTGGAAAGTTGACCTGCATTAAACCTTGCTTAGTACAGTTTCATTTTATTGCATGCCACTAGGGCAAGCCCTAAAAGTACCATAAATTGAACATTGAGGATTTTGTGTAGAGAGTTCAAATCTGAAAAATAGATTAACAATTTACCACGAGACTGTGGTGCCTGATTCTTCAGAGCATTAACCGCCAATGAAGTTGCCACTTGATGGCTAGGTTGCTTTCCTTTGTCAGCATCAGACATGAATATCTCGTGTGATGGTTGCAGTCTCTTTCTGGAGTCAGCCCCCATGTACAAGCCACCAGTTTCAGGAATAGTATCTCTAATTGACGATGTCATAGCAGCATCTTCTTCCGTCCTGGTTTTGACCATATCATTTCCCTCATTTGTGGTATCTGACTCTTTGTTTTCTATATTCTCAGCCTTCAGTTCACAGTCAGAAGAACTTCTGCTCTTTGCAGCAATGGCAGGTTTGTTAATCTCCCCTTCAAAGGACAGTTCTTTTGAAGTGTCAACCTTCACCTGAGATTTTTCTAGTCTATTCTCCTTTTCAGATTCTACCGCAGTTTGGCAGTCTTCGCACAACCAGTCACCATCTGGAACTTCTTCCATCATTACCATCATGCAATACCTGAAGCAAAGAGATATTAAAACATACTCATTCCCGCATGCAATATCTGAGAAGACATAATGAAAACAAGTGCTCAAAAGAGTTCCCTGACAGGTGTATAGACAAAGATAATATATGTGTAGACATATTAGTGTTCTGGTATGCTAATTGTGCCATCAGCTTACAGTCAGCAATTAAAAACCATAAAACAGTAAATGGGCAGCTTTAGCGTATGCAATACATCAAATGCAACTGAACATTAGTACAGAAAAAAAAGTAATGCAGCAAAGAGTCCTTACGTGTGCTCTGCGCGCGTCATTGCATCTGCTACAGACAGCGAGCTTCTCCTCCTCACCAATATCTCCACATATGTCACACACCTTCACCTATGTTTTGAAACAGGTTACACAGTTCAGGCGATTCAAAACTAAGGGCATTATCCAATGCAAGAAGAAAAAAAACCCAATCGAAATGCAACCAATTGAGGTCAAGCAAACCATAAAAAAAACAGAAATTTAAGGTTCTCACTCACATCTTCAACTTCTTCTGAACTTTTATCGTCAGATGAAGTTGTATCCACTTGTGCATCGGATGCCTGCTCGATACAGACCATTTACAACAAACTCAGTGGTTAATACAAACTGAGGGTTCATTCTGATGCATCATATGTTCACATAAATGCAAATAAATCACTTCAAGATGCATATTAACTTCTCAATAATAAAGATTGGCATTCTTCATACAGGCAATATATGTAATCATATATAAAACGAAAAACACCAGAACAAAGAGCAAGAAACTCACATCATCCCTAATCTTTTGAGAACTTTCTTTATCAATATCCTTGTACACAGCAGTGACTTGAACATGAGACCCATCTTCATTTGCACCTTCCTGTTCCAAATGAGATGCACCTTGCTTGCTGTTTGTTGAGTTTCCAAAACCCTTCTTTGTGTTTTGAGAGCTAGCTTTTTGGAGCTTGTCTTTAGAGTTTGTTGAATGGTCCTGTTCTTCTGAAGCTGAGGATGGACCATTGGAAGAATTACCTGAGTGGCCTGCTTTTGCTAAGTCATCACCAGTTCTCCCATCAACATGTTCCTCAATGTGTGCACTAGGCTGACCCTTGCCAACCTGTCCATCTGTATCATCGCTGTCACTGTCAACAGCACCATCACTTTCAATCGCCTTATCCACCCTTTTATCACGCAATCTTTTAGCAGATGGAGGTGCTCTTCTCCCCCTTTTCTTTCTTACGGCCACATTAGATGTGTCTTTGATTTCAGAGATCCATGAAGCAACATTATTGAGACGACCTGAGCTACGTGGTGCCCTGTCTGAATTCCTTACTGCACATATATAAGCATTATTAATGACATCGTGTATTATGGTTTGTGAAGTGATATAAATACCTAAGATGCAAATAAGATGAGGAGGGATAACATACATCGCATGTCCTTTATTCAGGTTTATGAAGAAAGTTCTGGCTCTGATTGTCCTTCCTTTCCAGCGAGGAAAATTGCCTTAAAAAATCAACACATTAAACAACAGGTAAATAAGAAATACTTGCCAGTCCGTACACAAACACGTAAACATATACACAGAATGTTAGGTGCAATAAATTAGTACTCCCTCCGTCCCAAAGAGAATGACATTCTAGTTTTGTCCTAAGTCAAACAATCTCAGGTTGGACAATTTATATAAAAGAATATCAATATTTATATCACTAAACAAGCATCATTAGATTCATCACGAAATATAGTTTCATGATGTACCTATTCGGTATCATAAATGTTGATAATCTTCTCTATAAGCTTGCTCAAACTTAAAATAAGTTTGACTTAAGACGAAGGTAGAGTGATGTTCTTTTCAGGATGGGGGTAGTAACATATATATATATATATATACTAAACAAATCATGGGTAAATTCAGACACTGGTCTGATGCAAACATAGAAATTCAACAATGATGAGTAATCTAGATCTTAATTATACTACACATTAGCTGCATCAAGTTTTGTTATGCACACACATAATTAATATATCAGATTTTTGTTATTTCGTTTTAAGCATACTTTCCAACTAGACACAATTGAAGATATCCTACATTTTAGATCAAACTACTTCCAGAAAAAAGGTACAGAGGACTCTGTGACACTATAACAGTGGTTTCATTGCATTCAGAAGAGAAAAATACAAATCATTACATTCAGTGCTACAAAAATCAATACAGACAGAAATGGATCAGTGCCATGTGAATGTCATGAAATGCTATCGGTTAGTTGTTACAGATAAAATAGATTGTAACCAAGGCCGCTTTCCGGTGGCTCCCAGAACAAAATAGCTCCTCTATCTATTGAAAGATTAACACAGGATAAAGTCAGTCCAGTTTGCCCTCTACAGGCCTGTTCCAAGTCCTTCAGATTAGTATGAAAAAACAAATACTACGCAATCAAGCTAACAACAGCAGCAATTCAAAGATAACCACGGAGCCAGGGGCGGATCTAGTAAAGGCACCCAATAATTTTTGCAAAAACTTCGAAGCTCGGAGGCTTGTCAATCAAATAGCTAAATAGCTTGACGTTAGGGTTTCGGCGCTCAGCTTCGCGCAGCGTGAAGGGAAGAGGAAGGGTGGGAGTACCTGGTGCGTGCTCGTGGCCGGCGGAGAGACCAACCGAAGCCTCAGCGCCTGGCTTAGGGCGGCGGCGGCTGCCCACCAGTCGTCGGAGAGCGCGAGGGGGGCGAGCGAGACAGACAAGAATGCACGAGGAGCGGAGGAATGCAGCGGACGGCAGGAGGATTCAGCGGAAGGGGTTGTCGTGTCGGAAAGGGGGATCAGCGTCAGCGCACGGGCCATTTCCTGGACCGGTTTTTTTCTCACATATTTTCTTTGGAAAATTCCTTTTTTATTTTATTTTTCTCCTCTCTTTTTTGGTTTCTTCTCGATTCTTGATTTCATATCTATCCTCTTCATGGGATCCATGGCTAGTATTATTACCTCATATTATCTCTTCATGGTGGATCAATGGCTAGCACAACAATGGTTACAAAAATAATCCAAACTACTTTTCAGACATAGAACAATATTTTTCTCTCACAATATTTTAACATAAGCATCAGCATAAGCCAAATTTCAGCATCAGCGAACAGGGTGAATAACAACAATATTTATGAGTACATATCACTTTGTAAATCGGGCTTGCTAGCGTCCGAACGTCCGGATGCCCGCGTCTATAGTCTGTTTCTTGCACCGTTTTCACGTGCCCACGTGGGGTCAACGCTGCCCCGAACGTCACCAAGAAGAGGGAGGGGGGCGGCGAATGCTCAACTGGCGCCGGGAGGAGACACCGCAAGGCAGCAGAAAGCGAGGAGGAAGATGCAACATCCGACCTACTTTTGAAACATCAAGATGTACCAATTACATCATACGTCTAAAGGCAGATGAAACAATTGACATGCATATGAAACACATGCAAAAACACCTGCAAAACACTTGAAACCCATTGTAAAACATACACAACATCTAGATAAAACACTTGTAACATATGTGTGAAACATATGCAACATCCTAATAAACACACTTGCAATATACGTCGAAAAAATAAATGAAACATTTTCAACAGAAACTTGCAACAGACGTATAACACCATTGAAATTTATGCAACATCTCGATCTACTTTTGCAACATCCTCATGAAACACTTCCAACATACCTCTGAAACATGTGAGACACTTGAAACATACGCTTGCAACAGGCGTTTTTCACCCTTCTTCTTTCCTACAATGCTGCGCAGAGCAGGGGATGGGTAGGCTGAGGGCAGCGCCCGTCGCGGCCTCTTCTAGAGGCGAGTAAAGAGGGTGGCAGGGACAAGTTACCGGCGAGCTTTGGTCGCGCTGCGGGCTGTAGTCATCGCAAGCGGGCGGAGAGGGAGGCGGGGACAGGCCTACAACGGGCGCAAGCTGCCACCATTCTCTAGCCAGGAGGAAGGGCCAGCCGCAGGCGCAGGCGGCTGCCGACGAGCTTTGGCCTTGCGGGGGCAGGAAGAAGGTGCCGGCTGAGAGCTTTGGCCGGGTCAGACGAGAAGAAGAAGGGCACATCGTGGCGCAACCTCTGCTCAGGCAATGGCGGTTGGTGGAGGCGGCACGGGGATGGTGCGGGATGGAGGTGCCGCGAGGTGGGGAATTTTTTTTTTGAGAGCGCATCCGGACACAAATCATTGGTGTATCATTATCGTTTTTAATATTTTTTATTGAAACTAGAAGCCATTTTCACATGAACATATAATATTTTTTCGTGTAATGCTAAAACAACATTTTTCTAAAATAGGAACAATTTTCTTTTTTTGACAATTTCCCAATTGAACATGAAATATTTTTGTGCTAAATAAACATGGAACAATGGTTCCCTGGACCAGGACAATGCTATCTCAATAAAAAAATATATATAGACTGATTAATAAAAATGTTTTCCGTGCTCGAGTGAAAACTAATAAAGTGTACCGACACTTTAATATCTCGTGAAAAAAAATCTTTCTATCACTCTCTTTGCATTCTACAATTTACTTTCTAAAAAATATGCTACAGTAGGGTTAAAGCTGAGGTTGCAAAATACTTTTATGTGTTAAAGTAGTCACACTTTGTTAGCCTTGAACAAATTCAGCTAGGTGATGTGTTTATCATCCGCAAGGCACGAAAGAAAGTTGAGGCACATAGTGGCTATAAGCCCATAGAAAACCCGACAAAGAAAAACAAAGGTATACATGTCAATATCAGCACCAATGTAATATGCCACGTTAGCTAAACTGACTTCAAAACTGCCTCAACCGATTATTTAGACGCTTTTAAGTAGTTTAAGAGTTGAAGTAGACAGCCTCCAATAGTTAGAGGTTAAATATATTTTTTTCTAATAATGAAATATTATTAAAGACAGTAGTGGTCCCTTTTGCTGAAAAGGTACCATAGGCGCAAAATGGCCTTTTCATCTGGGACTTAACACTGCTACCACTCCGAAGTATCGAAAGTAACAAATAGGAAAGAAAAAATGAAAGGGGTGACAAATAGAAAATATTTTAAGTTTGTGTGTTAAATAAGAAAGCATAAGTTTTTTTAGCGTAAAACAGGAAATTTCCTCTTATATATAAGTTGGACCTTTTCAAATATTGGTAAGAAAATATTTTTAGTGATTAAACTTTTATTGCCTCTAATATTGATAGAAAAAAGTCTACATCATCCTAACTACTAGCAGTTGTCTACTTTATCCCCTCGTATATTATTTTTACCACATTAACAGCTCAACGGTATTTTCAAATCTCATTATTGATAAATTTTTGTTATAAGGAAATATTTTATAATGATCAAACTTCCGCTGCCTCAAAAAAATATACGAGCTCGCTAGCGCTCGGACGTCCGAACAGATAGGGCGTTCAGACGCCCGCACCAGCAGTCATTTTTCTGCGCCGTTCCGCACGCCCACGTGAGGCCCACGCGCGCCCTGAACGTCACTAGCATTGAGAAGAGAGGGAGGAAGCGGCGGATGCCCAACCAGCGTCGCGAGGAGGAGGAGACACCGAGGCGAGGCAGCAGAAAGCGAGGAAGAAGATACAACACACGATCTACTTTTGAAATATTCAAATGCAATACTTGCAACATACATATGAAGGCAGGTGAAACATGCATCTGAAACACTTATAATAACACCTGAAAACACTTGAAACCACTGCAAAAACATACGCAACATCCACATAAAACGCATGCAAACATATGTGTGAAATATATGCAATATCCAGATAAACACACTTGCAACATACGTCTGAATAAACAGATGAAACATTGGGAACAAAAGCTTGCAATATACGTGCACAACCATTGCAACATATGCAACATCTCGATCTACTTTTGCAACATCCATATAAAACACTTGCAACATACCTCTGAATAAACAGATGAAACATTAGGAACAAAAGCTTGCAACATACGTGTACAACCATTGCAACATATGCAACATCTCGATCTACTTTTGCAACATCCATATGAAACACTTGCAACATATCTCTGAAACATATAAAATACTTGAAAAAAGATGTTTGCAACATGTGCTTTCAAAGCGTAACATATACTTGCTGCTTAACGAAAATGGAGGCTCATCGATGCGGAGCTCGACGCTGGCATGGAGCTCGAAGTGGCGTAGAGGTCTCCGGTGTGGAGGTCGTCGGCGGCACGAATCTCGACAGGGGCGGGCGGTAGGCAAATGGAGCCTGGCCGTAGCGGGAGCGCGCGAGTATGGGCGGGGCTGGCACAGGGGAGGGTGAGATCCGTCCCACGAGCAGGGTTGCACGGCGAGGGCCCACGCGCGTGGCCGAGGATAGCACGGGGGTGGGCGGGGTGCATCACGCGAGCAGGGGGGCATAGCTTGCAAACGTCGCAGAGCGAGTAGGCGATGCAGACGGGGGTGGCACG